TTATTTAACCAGTTATCACTTTTTCCTTTTTTAAATTGAGGTATACTTGACATATAACATTATATTTGTTTCAGGTGTACAAAATAATGATGTGATGTTTGTAACAATTCTCATTTTTAACATGTTCAAGTTATCACTAGCTTTTTGCTATTAAAAAGCTTGGTTAATGAATACCTTCTTAGACGTCTAGGCTGTTTTGATGGTTTTCTTTAGCTAAATTCCTAAAAGTGGGCTTGCTGGGAAGGTGCATTTGGAAGTCTTTGGTTGCTTGCTCCTGGGGGTGGGTTTTTACACTGAGCATCGGTTTTGACGTTGCCGTCTTTCCAGGAAGTACTTAACACCATTGAGGTCTTGTCTTTCCCCTCTTTGGGATTATGAACAAGATGTCTTGAAAGCCACAACTTACCACTCTTTATGCTGATTTACTTACCTGTCTAGAGCATTGTGTCAAAGAATGCACTGCAGTACCGGGGGAGTTCCCAGCACGATGCCCAGGAGTTTCTGCTGTGGCTTCTGGACCGAGTTCATGAGGACCTCAACCATGCGGTGCTACAGAGCGGCCAGCCTCCTGTGAAGGTGAGGGCGCTGGGCTGTTAGGGGGTGGGGCACCCAGGACTTTTAGGAGTGGGGCGCTGAGCCGTCAGGGGACGGGCCGGACCATCAGGGGCGGGGTGCTGAGCCGTAAGGGGAGGGGCACCCGGGTACCCCACGGGACAGAGTCGGGAACAGGCTTAGATTCTTTTCCCACATCTCTTCCAAGGCAGCGTTGCAGGTTGCATGTAGTTCATGTAGTGACGTTGACTAAGCTCTGGGTGAAGTTCATGGGTACTTAGAGGATCCCCCACGTTTACCATCATGCCGGCAGCGTGAGGTACACGAGACGCCGTCTTCAAGCAGCTTATTACAGTCTGATGAGAGAGGACACATTTGCATATATGACTAGCTTTAGACTAAAATGAAATGGTTCCATCTTACTAAACTGGTTTTAAAGTGGAAATGTGCTTTCCACTCCAATGAGACCCATAACCTATAAGTCACTGGAATGAACACAGTCAGGAAACGAAGGGATGTCTCGTTAGGACTGGACTTGAGTGTAAGAACTGAACCCTCAGAATATTCCTACTGAGAAACATGATTGAATCTCAATTTTTATGCATGAAGCCTTAGTAAGACGGGTAAAGTGACTTAATGTAATGGAAGTAATTCAGGCTAAAGAGTTGCCTTCCTCTCGCAAACTTTTATTTATTTTTTTGTTATTGGTAGTTATGCTCTGTCCCTCCCATTTTAAATTTCTAGTTTTGGTAAGTTGTTAATTATCCCAAGTCAAGGTCCTTTTTGTGCCTGAACTGTCGTATGACTCACTGCTTGGGGCCGACTCTCTCTCCATCGGATTGAGATGTGCTCCATCCCAACCAGGCACATCAGGCACTGTGTCTTATTTATCCTAGTGTCCCGATGCCCTCTACCGTGCTCTCTGACGTGGTACCCAATTGTTAGGTGGAGGACCATGAGGAGGTTAAGGAAAATAGAAAGTAGAGCGATTGGCACCAACAGCTAATGGGCACGAGAGGATTTAGATGTGGGAGGAGCCAGGACTTGTGGAGTGCAGAGATTACTTCCTGGACAAGACTGCAGAGCCCTGGGGAAGACCTGCCTGAGCCGGGCAGGGGTAGGAATGGGGATAAGCCCAGTTTGTGGGCGCCCTGGGACCCCCGCCTGTCCTGGCAGCTGTGTCTGGTTCCTTTAGCCAGAAACCTTTCACTGAAACATGGGGACCTGACGCATAGCTTGTACAAGAAGTCAGGGACATTTGTGACTTTTAGGGTGATCTTCAGTCAATAATTGGTACTTCCAGTCTGTGAAATTGTGCTTTCTTTTTTTAAGCCACCGTCAGAGACGGACATGATGCCCGAGGGACCATCTTTTCCTGTCTGTAGCACTTTTGTACAGGAACTTTTTCAAGCCCAGTACAGGTAGGAGTGAATTCAGTTTCCCCACGTTGTCTGCTTCCGTAGTTGTAACGTAGTTGCAGGCGATCCTAATGTGAGTATCGTGCATTTTTGTTTTTGAAGATCTTCTTTGACGTGTCCTCATTGTCAGAAGCAGAGCAACACTTTCGACCCTTTCCTCTGCATTTCTTTGCCAATTCCTCTACCCCACACAAGGTAAGAACAGATTTACTAAGAGGAAGACTGTATGTTCCTACGTGGGCTCCTTTTCCTCTGTAGGCGCCTCTTAACGTCTTCTTACTTATCTAGACAAGTGATGGGACTAGTGAGAAATTGAACGCAGGCATTGTTAAAACCCGACAGAAACTTAGGAATGCCTCTGTGAGTTTGCAGGGTGCTGGGCAGGCGCGTGGGCAGGCGTGGCCGTTCAGTGAGTCTCCCATCGATGGTATGGGGGAGGGGAAAGGTTGGGCACCTTCCAGGTTCGATAGAGACCTTACATTGCACTTTTAATTAATTGCTTTATTTGAATTGTGTCTCAAAATTTCCGGGAGTTATGCTGTTTTAAGGAAAATACAAACTACAGAGCCAAGTATTAATGTTATAGTTTTGTTTTATGAAGATTACCTTTTCCAGCGATCTCTTGATTATTGTTTCATAGTCCTACTTAGGTTCAAATGAAGTTTTTCTATTTGGCTTCCAAATGTGTGGGTGAGCTTCAGTTTTGTGTTATTTCCAATCAGGTTTGTTTTGCATCTATATTTTAGATGAAATAAGCAACTAATGAGAAGATCTGACTTTGATCTGTACAGGCCTCTCTATGTCACCGTAGTGTATCAAGGGAAGTGTTCTCACTGCATGAGGATTGGCGTGGCCGTGCCCCTGTCTGGGACTGTCGCCAGACTTCGGGAAGCAGTTTCTATGGAAACAAAGATCCCCACTGATCAGGTAGTGCACCTGCTAACACCGATTACACAGGGGCCACAAAAGTGTTGCTTTCTGTTCTCCTGGAATATTTTAACAGTTCTCTGCCAAATATGGTTAGATAGAAATGTAAAACCAGTTGATTATATTGAAGAAAAAGGTAATCAAACCCAGAGGAGAAGAATGTACACAAACATTTTCATGCTTCATTTAATTGTGTGTATATCTTTAAAAGGAAAAGCTGTGACTTGCCACCAAGACCTTTTAGCTTTGTTTATAAAGCATAACTACTTAACTCTTCTTAAACCATCCTTATGGATGCTCATATGAGCAGGGCATCCTCATGGTATTTGAAGGTCAGAGAGGCTTAGAAAACTGGACCAGTGGCTCTTGAAAACCCCTTTCCATCTTGGTGATAAGAACTGGCACCTTGCCAGTCCACTGTACATAGATACCCAGTTCTGTGTGTTTTCTGATTAAAGCTGGATCAGCCTCTTGCCTTGTTTAGAGAAGAGATAGAAAAGCTGCTTTTTTGGGTAAATTTTTGGTAAGTAGTTATATTTAAATTGACCCAAAATACTTCTGGCCTATTGTGACTTGACATATTTTTGCATACATTTTCTTCTAAATTCACTATTATGATTTTAGTTGGAAATACATTCTCTATTAAGGATTTACTAAGGAAAGATGATTCCGTGGCTGAATAGCGTCTTCCTAGATCGCTTCTGGAAACTGCTGTGTAGTCACCTGAATAGTAAAGGCAGCCTCGTTTAGGAAGTCACCACCGTAAAACAAATAAACCAGCAGTTTTGCCCCAATAAGCAAATACTGCACATCTTCTTAGACCACATACTGGCACAGAGAGAAAGTGTTCATACCCTTCCTTACTCTGAAGAGCTCACTGATCCTTTTTCTCCTTCAGGATGAGAGGAAAGACAGAGAGGGAGGAAGAGAAGCTTAGGTGTGTGTCGAGGAGGCAAACCTGTTGTCTCTTTAAAGCTTTCCGTGCTGCCTGGCGCTTTTTACATGTGGTTTACATGAGTGACATAGTTCCGAGTCTGTTTCGACCTCAGCTTGCTGGAAAAAGTGAATTATGTTTGCAAGTTCACCTGCAGAAAAACAGAGTGGTCATGAAAACCATTAGGAAGAAAAGGTGCCAGGAGATTTCTCTTGGACTTTTTGTGGCTATGCCACCAGGCCCCCCCTTTCACCTCATAGACTCGAGGTGTGTTTGTGTTTGTGAAGGGGACCACAGGGGTCCAGCCCTTCATTGGAAGGAGGCCCAGAGAAACCATGTGACTCATTCAGGGTCATAGGGCTGGTTGGTGGCAGGCTGGGGCTGGAGCCTCCCGTGCCCAGTCTGGTGCTTTTTCACTAAGCGGTGCTGCTGAGCATGGAACAAAGCCTCTGAAGGTCTCCATTGTCCCAGCTTTTGTTTTTCTGTCTTACTGTGCAATACTCAACCATTTCAGAAACAAAACTTTGAAAGTGACAGTGTCCCATGTTGAGTATCTTAGAACTAGGGGTAACTAACTGGATATTCATTCTTGTTTTTTCCTGTGCATATGCTGCATTTATTATTCTATAAAAAGGACTCATGCACACATTGTCCTTTACCTTGCTTCTGATTGACTCAGGAGCCCTGCCCATGTTAGTGCAGATAAATGTAAATGTACTCATTCCTTGTAATAGCTTTGTAACTCCAGGGGAGCTGCAGTAGATCTAACTACTTCCTGTTGTTGGGCATTTTTGAGTTGATTGCATTTTTTTCCTAATATAAATATCATGGTTATTTGACATTTTTTAATCTGAAACTGAGAACATTTAATGATGCAGGAGCGTCTCAGAGCCAGAGGTGGACTCTGTCCCCACCATGAGACTGAGTGGTTGTGTAACCCCGGGCAGGTCACTTCTCTCTTTAAGTTCCTTCTCCTGGGAGAAGGGGTAGATTATGACCTCCTGGCCATCTCCACGGCATTCTGCAGACAAGTAAGCTGTTCTGCAGTTACAAAGCATCTGTGCTTCCAGGATTTCCTCGTTCAAGGCTGATAGCGGCCCTGTGAGCTGCTGGAGCCCTCCCAGAGCAGCGCAGGTCCTGACGCTCCAGGCACGTGCACGCCAGAGTTAGGAAATCAGTTCGGATTGACTTCCTGCTTATCCCGCTGTTCACTGTTTTCTCATTTTTAGATCGTGTTAACAGAAATGTACTATGATGGGTTCCATCGTTCCTTTTGTGACACAGATGACCTGGAAACAGTCCACGAAAGCGACTGCATTTTTGCCTTTGAGACTCCAGAAATATTCAGGCCTGAAGGAATCCTCAGTCAGAGAGGTGAGTGAATGTCTGATTCCACAGGGCGCCCTGGGTTTGTGCTGCACACCTGTCTGCCCTTGTAGGGGTCTGTACATGATGGCGTGCTTTTTCTAATTGTGCTGAAATACACATCACACACTTTTTAATGATGGCATAAATTTTATGGTGCCGTATTTCCCTGGAAGAAGGCAACTCTTACTGTTTAGGCAAAGCTATTTCCTTTATTCCTGACACTTCCTGTCAGCGTTTGGGGCAGCCCCTTTCTGAAGCACAGGACTGACTCTGTCTTCCCTAAGTGGCCTCTTTGGCATCTTCTGACAGCTCTCAGGAAGGTTATTAATGCCATAGCTGATTATTGATTTATTGCTATCCAAAATATTATATTTTCTGGTATTTTGCTACCAGCTCCGATGCTTAATTTCTGAATTTTAAAATCTTTGCTGTAGAACATTTTCTTGAGAGTTACTTTTTTAGAAATCTGCCACAAACATGCCACATGCTTTTTAGCTCTCCCTACAGTTCGCTCTGCTGAGAGTTTGCTTCCCCAGCCCCTCCTTTGTCTCCTGAGGCCCCTTTCCCCACCCCACCCCCAGTTTCCCATCCCCTAGTCCTAAGCAAGCACGCTCTCCTTCCGGCCCTAGAGATTGCCTGGTCTAGACGTGAATGGAGTACACTGTGTGGCTCCTTGTGCCTGGCCTCCTTCATCGACATGATGCTTCAGGGCTCACGCATGTTGTAGCGTGGATCAGGCCTTCTTTCTTTTATGGCTGAGTAATGTCCCATCATACGCATAGGCCGCATTTCGTTTGTCTGTCTATGGACATCTGGGCTGTTTCCATCTCTTGGCCGTTAAGAAGAAGTGCTTCTACGACCATTCATGCACAAGTATTTGAACACTTGTTTTCAGTTTTTTGGGGTGTAGGAGTGCATACGCTGGGCCATGTGGTAATTCTGTGTTCAATTTTCTGAGGAATTGCCAAACTGTTTCCATAGCAACTGCATCCTTTTTCATTTCTACCAACATTATATGAGGGTTACAATTTCTCCACATTCTTGCCAACATTTGTTATTTTCTGTCCTTTGATTACAGCCATCCTAGTAGGTGTGAGGTGATATCTCATTGTGGTTTTGATTTGCACTTCCCTAATGACTAGTGATTGTGAGCATCTTTTCATGTGCTCACTGGCCATTTGTATGTCCTCTTAAGAGAAATGTTTTTTCAGGTCCTTTCCCTATTTTTAAATTGGGTTGTTTATCATTTTGTTGTTGAGTTGTACAAGTTCTTTGTATATGCTGGGCACTACACCCTTACCAGATATGACTTGCAAATATTAATATTATCTCCCATTCTGTGGGTTATCTTTTTACTTTCTTTTTTTTTTTTTAAGATTTTATTGGGGAATTGGAGGAGGGGAACAGACAAGCTGTTGTCGTTTTGTTCTTCAGTCTAGTTGTGGAGGATGTTGCTTCACTGGCCCACGTTGGTATTATCATTGTGCTTTTCCCGGGTGAGGCAGATCGGTCACTGGCCTCTGGACAGCCGCTTACACTGGCTGCCAGCCGCTCACGGCAGCTTACAGCAGCCCACTGCAGCCTATGCCGTCGCCGGCGACTCACGGCAGCCCAGCTCCAGGTCGAGCTGTTGTTCAGCATCTTAGCTGTGGAGGGCAGTGTCACTGGCCCTCATTTGGGATCTGAATAGAGTCTCTGCTGCTCAGAGCTGGGGTCCCAAGCCCGCTCTTAACCAACGTGCCACTCGGCTGGCCCGTCTTTTTACTTTCTTGATAGTGTTTTTTTAATACAGAACAGTTCTTAATTTTGATCAAGTCTAATTTATCTTATTGCTAATGCTTTTGGTATCATATCTAAGAATCCAGTTTTTCCTTATGTTCTTTTTTTAAAAAACGAATACATTAGGAATTAATTTTAGTATTAACTATGTATTTATTTTAAATCACTGTAATGCTGATGTACCTTAACAGATTGAGCAAGTCTTGCATTGTTGGTTATTGTCAGAATTCTGCTATGACTACTTTTGTGTAAACCACTTTTTATTTTATTCTTCTTTTGGTGGTAGTGCTGGTGTTGTTGTTGTTGTTGTTGTTATTATTATTATTATTATTATTATTATTGCTGTGGTGTTTCAGGCTTCCTTTTTGTATTCTCCAGTTGGAGTATCATTTCCTTAGGCTGTACTTCCAAAGGATTAAAGAAATTAACAATTATCTAGTCAAGCATTTATTGAGTTCCTACAAAGTGCAGGGCCTGGTGCTGGGTGCTGATTTGCTGAGTACCTCTGATTGACAGATAGCTCTGCTTTGGAGCATTTCTGAAGCCCTTGCTTTCAGCAGCCAGTACTGTGCCTGTCAAACACGTATTTTTGTTCACATTAATGTAGGTTGATATAGATAGTCTCATGGATCATAATGGCTGCGAGTCTAGTTGCGTGTAGTTTCTTATAAGTCTGGCTCGTAAATCAAGGAGAAGAAACTGCATTGGAATACTGACAATCATGGCACATGTACTAGTTCTTTATTTTTTATTAAAAAAAAATGGCAGTTACTGATTTATAACCACTAATGTTTTTATGTTTTCCAATGATAAATACTTTTAATAAAATTCACTGAAATATTTTCATTGATTCAAAAGTAATTTCTATAATTCTAATATATTCTGGATAAGGTTTATGTAATCATTGTTATGAGAACAAAATGTTTAAAATCTGAATATATAAACTTTTGTTGCAGACCAAAAACTTATTCAAGCTTATTTTTGCTTTGTCACAATTATATTTTTCCCTTAATGTCAAATTACACATTGTAGAGCTAAATATTACTTTTCTATGAAAAGAAACAAACAAAAAAGAACCCCAAAACCCAAAACATGACTTGAGCCAAGAAAACATTGAAAAACTTAAGGAATATAGTAACGAGAGGCAATTTTAGCACTAAACATGCAATCTCTTAAAGTTACACAACAACTGTGAAAGAATGAAGCGTATTCTAGCTGAATATGATATTTCAGTTCTAAAGCAGTGCTGACAAGATTTGGCTTCTAAACTGCTTAAACTTAGGCTGAAAATGCAGGTTGTTTGTACCCTCAGCCCTCCAAAGTTTTGATACTTATATATTTTGGCCTCACCATTTCTGTTGTACATTACTATGATGAGACAGGAAGAGGAAAATATGTTTTCATTGCCTTAGGATGATCTATTTTAAGTCAAAGTTCGCATCTAATTTTCATTGCATCAGAACTTCTACAGTGACAATAGTTAATACTGAGAGCAAAAGGAATTCTATAAAATCTACTAATATTGGAAAAGATTTATTTTGAAATGTTTAATTATTTCATTAGAAATTATATGCATCCCATACATGTATATGTGCACCAATGCCTAAGAAAATGAAAACAAAGATTAAAAGAAACATTCTAAAAACATAAAAGAAAAAAAAATGACTTGGTTATCGGTTGTTGGTCGCACTCTACGTTTGTTGTGGTGGGTCATCTCTGCAGACTTGTCCTTCTGGCACTGTGTCTAATATTCACCAAAGTGAAGAGTTTTCATTTTCAGGTTTAGGATAGGGAAGGCTAGTTTAAATAATGGATGCTAAAGAAATTATCTTGCTGGCTAGACAAGTCCTGTCAAAGTAGATCATTTGTTCCTTTTGTTCAATTGCAGTTTAAAGTACGGGATGTCGACTTCTTCATTTCTCTGTTGGGTGAACTTCTTTGCCATGAATGAATGAAAATAATTTTGAGGAGATAAAGTAAGTTGTTCTTTATTCTGTTTCAGGAATCCACTTAAACAGCAACCTAAACCACTTAAAATTTGGCTTGGACCATCACAGACTGTCTTCTACACAAACTGCTGCAAAGCACGGGAGAGCAGACGTATCACCAGCAAGAGCAGGTGACAAGATTGTCCTGCTGGTGTGTAACCGAGCCTGCTCCGGGCAGCAGGGGAAAAGGTGAGTGCCTGCCTCTTCTCCAGTAAGTACTGGACTTCTAACAGGCTGGTGTTTTCAAAAGTAAAAGAACCCGCACTTTTAGTAGTTAGTTTTCGATCCTGATGTTCAGAAAGAATATGTGTGTACGTTGACCTGATCTGAGGGTGGGGAGGGGGTGGCTGTAAATGTGGGATGCTGGAACCCGAGTCAGAAAGGCTCTCGGAGCTGGTGCAGTTTTAAAGGCCCATTACATGTGTATATTTTCAGCTCAGTCTCCTCTTGAGGCCCCAGACCCCAGCTCTACATCCAGCTTCTGTAACAGCTGGGGTTTTTTTTTTTTGGTTTTTTTTTTAAATTCTTAATGAGCCTACTTGGATGGTCTGTGCACCTCAGCCTTACGTTTTTGTCCCAGAAAACTCCCCAGGTTTGCATTTACATCAGTTGTACATACATAATGGGCATCTTAGTGTTAGTTCTCTTAGGACTTTTAACAAAAAAATTGTTTAAATTTCTAGAAAAGGTTGATTTTAAATTCTTAATGAATCTACTTGGATGGTCCGTGCACTGCAGCCTGATGTTCCATCCCAAGCTCGCTCTTTCTCCTGGTGAGCCTGGCCCTCCAGCATCTCCGGCTCAGCACGTGGCACCACCCCATTCAGCCACACAGGCCAGGAAGCTGGGAGCTGGAAACCTCTCAGATCTGTTTTCCTTTGTGATAATGTGCGGGCATTTTTGACTGGCCTTATCACCACGGTGCTGTGACCTGAGTGATGATCAGTTGTCGGTATATTGTGGGGGAAAAGCACGTTGTGTTCCTTCCTAATAGTTGTCAGGGTGGCATTTATATTAGCCCCTGAAAATGATGCTTTGAAATAGGCTCCTTTTTTAAGGCTGGTTAGTAACAAATGCAGAATGTGTTGATTTGAATCTTTATGATGCTCACAGTGTGTCGAGCACTGTTCTGAACACGGGGCGCCCCAGCGAACAGACACATCGGCTCTATGCTGTCAGGGACCTTACATCCTAGTTAGGGCAGAGGGACTGACAAGTAAACACATTTAACTTCAGACGGTCGTTCCCACTTTGAAGACATTAAAACAGGCAGGGATGGTGGAGTGTGCTTGGTGGGTGGCGATGACAAGTCTGGGTTAGAGAGGGAGGTCAGGGAGGGCCTTCCTGAGGAGGCATCAGCCAGCCGAGCCCCAGTGAGGAGAAGGGGTGTGCTGTGTGAGCCTCTGAGGAACACGGTCCCCTGAAGAGGGGACATCGAGGATACTGACGCTGATCCCAGAGGGAGCTTGGCGTGTTTAAGAGACAGGAGGGAAAGGAGCATACTGTTTCCATAGAAAATGAAGACCTTGTGAAGTCCCCTGCATGACGCTAGTCCCCTCAAACTGGAGACGTTGTCATATGAAAACATGGCTGGCCGATTTGCACCTCGTGCTGGTGACTTATTTTGCATCGCAGTTGCTCCCTGTCGAGCACCACTATGAGCAAACGGCGTGATGTGTGTTAGGAATGGGTTTCTTGATGATCTTGGCACGTCTGCTTCCGCCTGAGTCAGGGTTTATATGACTGTTGTTTCGTCCGTTCATTCATTCTCTCAGCACCTGTGTTCTAAGCATGGGCTATTCGGGCTGCTAAGAGGAGCAGGCCACAGTTCCTGCTCTTAGATCAGTCACAGTCTGCTGGGGAGGCAGGACAATCACTGGGTGGCTCTTGTCACGTGGTGTGGTAGGTGCTGTGGCACCGAGAGTATAGGTGGCAAGTCAGCGGGGTGCTTCCTGGAGGAGAATGCCTCCTGGGGCCTGATGAGGTGAGGTCATAGCCTGGGGGATGTGTGTGGGGGGGTACATCCCAGGCTGAGGAACTGGCTGAACACAGACCTGGGCGTGTGAGGAGGACACAGTTGGGACACTGGGCTTGGGCGGGAGTGAGGCCAGGCCAGAGTCTTCCACCTTGGCCACCGTAGAGCCACTCGGGGCTCCTAAAGTCTCTGCTCCAGGCACCCCACGGGGACTGCAGCCCGACCTCAGGGGCTGCACTTGGACTTCTTTGTTTAAAGTGCAGCCAAAGCCATGAACCTGGCACTGCCTCTGAGTCTGCAGCACCTGAGAGCCGGGCGCTGGCAGGGGCCACATGGCTCCTCCCTTGGGCCAGGAGCTGACTTTAAGAGTCGTTTGCTTGCCGGGCCCTCCTTGTTGTCAGACTGTCAGGGTATGGCCACCTACCTGGTAGGCCTTCCCTAACCACTGGTATGTTTGACCTTTGCTGTTTGCCAGGTTCATGTCCACTGCCACCTTCTGCCCTCGCCATCCCCACTGACCCTCCTCTTGCCACCTGATACCCCAGCCTCATGCTCCCCTAGAAGTCATTTTGGTGCCAGAGCTGTTGAATTTCATTTAGAAACCTCAGTTTCTCTCTGACTTTTTCATCCACTTACCAGCATTACGATTAAATTTCCTGTTTGCTTTATTTTGAGAACTGTCCTAAAAGCAATCACATAGTGATTCCATTTAAGAAGACCATGGATAAGGAGTTACAGTCATAAAGGTGTTACCACAATTGAAGGCGATTTCCCTGTTTGTGTGTTAGGTTTGGACTGCCTTTTGTGCTGCACTTAGAGAAGACAGTGGCCTGGGATCTCCTGCAGAAGGAAATCCTGGAGAAGATGAAGTATTTCCTGCGGCCCACGGTTTGCATTCAGGTGCGTATGTGCACACTCAGCCCCGCACGTGTGTGTGCCCAGTGAAGGGACGGCCACTGCAGGGGAGGCTGAATCTCAGACCTGTGTGCTGGGGAGACAGATGCTGAGCTGCAGTGTGAAAAGCTGGTCCATAGTCGGCTACGTTCAGAGCTTCAGGACCGAGGACTTAGCCCTCATTGTACGGAGGGCGCTGGTCTCTGCAGGGTTTCCTTTCCTCCTGTTTGTCGAGTGACATTTAGCACACCATCAGCTTCGAGGGACTTTCTGTCAGTGTGTTTTCAGAATTAGGGTTACGATGTGCAGGTGTCCATGGAAGGCTTACATTAAGTTCAGCTGACATGTTACCTGTCGTACATGACACATTTGATAGGGAGATTGCATTGGAGTAAAGCGTGTTGAAAGTGGATTACAGTGGTCACCAACTACCAGGGTATTGTGGGGAAGCTCTCCCTCCAGTCTGTCTGGGAAACACGTGCCTTTGGAGAGTCAGCCTGATTCCCCTTGCCCTTCTGATGCAGGTGTGTCCGTTCAGCCTGCGAGTGGTCAGCGTGGTGGGAATAACGTACTTACTGCCCCAGGAAGAGCAGCCTCTATGCCACCCGACGGTAGAAAGGTAAAAAAACCACCTTCTAGAATTTCACGTGTGCTCCTCTGTAATTTCTCGTGCTGTCTGATATAATTGGTATAATTTCCATATAAGTGTGGGAGGTTCTTTAGTCTCATTTAGAAATTTAGTACTTTTTAACATTAGATTCATATTTGGGTATGATATGTTTATGATCTTTTTTGAAATCAAAAAACCTGGAGTACTCATGATAGGAAGGCAAATTAATGTATATCCCAGGACTACAGATAAATGACACGTTCATATTCACCAAGATTGACGTTTTTTCCAAAGTGGAATTCTAATCATAACTGCTTTTGTGCCTGAAGTCCTCACGTGGCCTAACAGATAAAGCCTCGTCCACAGTGTGTGACGTTTCTCAGTGTGAGTCCCAGTCACTTCCCTGTGCCAGGCCTCGCTCATCTCCCCACCGGCTCAGACACCAGCAGTGACAAGAACCGAGGAGCATTTGGACGTGCGGCTCTGTTTGCTGTGTGCCTTGGCCTGTGTGATCTCCTCTGCGGATGGTTCCTTCCCTCTCAGCCTTTCTTCCTCCACACTGGCCCTCCTCCCCCGTGGTCGAATTGTCACTGCACCATCTGCCGTGTGCTTTCTGCGTGCTTCTACTGTGTCACAGCACTCCACTGCGTTAGTGAAGGAATAGAGATATGCATGTACACGCAGTATACGTATGATACGTAAATATACAAACACAGTATTTTTATGATGATGATTTTTTCTAACCAGTATCATAGCACCTGCATTTTAGGATTCAGAAAAGTGTACAGTATGTGAAAGCAGGTCATTGTTTGGTTTTAGAGACGAGCGTTAACAGGTTAGATAATGATCCCAAACATTGCAAAGCCTAGAAAATATGAGATGAGTGATACTGACTGCCGATACGGAATTTCTCAGGAGGTGGGGCTCCGGGAAGAAGGAGGGGAACTGGAGTGGTGCCTCGCGGAGGGCACAGTTAAGATGGGCGTGGGCGTTGTCCAAGGACCAACGTGGTTTGGGGGCAGTGGGGAGAGGTGCAGGATGGACTTTGTCCAGAGGGACTGCATTCGGTCTCTATTTGGGCTGGTGAGACATTGGACCAAAAGTTGGAAAGGGAATAAAGAACACCCAAGGGCCAGCTGAGAGGCGCATTGGTTAGGCGTGGGCTTGGGATGCCAGCTCTGAGCAGCAGGGCCCCAGTTCGGATCCCACATGGGACAGTGACACTGCGCCCTCTACAGCTAAGATGGTGAGCAATAGCTCGACCTGGAGCTGGGCTGCTGTGAGTCGCCGGCGATGACGTAGGCTGTAGTGGGGCTGGACGGCAGCAGCCGTGAGCTTTCGTGAGCGGCCGTTCAATGGCCAGGGAGAGACTGCCTCACCTGGGAAGAGTGCAATGATAATACCAACATGGGCCAGTGAAGCAACATCTGCAACTAGACTGAAGAACAAAAGGACAGCAACTTGTCTGTTCCCCTCCCCCAATTCCCCAATAAAATCTTAAAAAAAGAAAAAAAAAAAAAGAATACCCAAGAGTGACAGTGGATGACTCTAACAGGATGGTAAATTTCTTCCCATCTCTATTTCTGTATCGGACATTTTAATAAGGATTTTTCAGTTCAGTTGTAACCTAGTTATTAAATACGAGGTTATTGTAATGGTCTCATTGGAAACATTTCTTATGGGGAACGATGATGAAGATTTTCAGTAATCATGTTATAATTTCAGGTTTCAGATAGGATGATCATATTTAAGTTACATCATTTATTTAGAAAATAATATGTGACTCCCCTCCTTGCCCCCTGCAGGGCATTAAAGTCTTGTGGACCCGGTGGCACTGCTCACGTGAAGTTAGTGGTGGAATGGGACAAGGAGACAAAAGATTTGTGAGTATTAGAGTCACTGTTTCTATTATTTTAGAAGCATACCTTTGATCTTTTAAGTTAACTGAAACCTAAATCTCTTTTATCTTCAGCTAAGTGTCCAAGTGTGTTGTTAATCCTTAGTTAAGTAGTTTATCATTTTTCTCCTACTTATTCTGTTGTTTGCTGCAAATGAGACAGAAGTGGTATATTTATACATATATTCACTACAGGTCCAGTTACTCTGACTTGTGCTACAGGCCCATTAACTCTCGTAAGTTGTACCACGTGCACACCCTTAGTTACAAAGCACAGTTCATGGCCAGTCCCAGGAAACCCAACTCCAAGGTATTTCTTGAAAGTAACCCTGTAGAGAGCTTCTCGAGAACACTTTGGAACATAGGAAATTGAGTTAGCACTTGTACTTCCTTATCCATCAGCCTTTGGTTATGAGTTTAGAGCCACGCTGTGAAGCCGGGATTGTATCTGTGTCAGTTCTGTAAGATGCTCCCTGATAGAGGCTCCCCCGTTGCAGCCTGTTTGCACACACTGAAGACGAGTACATCCCAGATGCCGAGAGCGTGCGCCTGCAGCGGGAGCGCCACCGCCAGCCTCAGACCTGCACTTTGTCCCAGTGTTTCCAGCTCTACACCAAAGAGGAGCGGGTGAGAGTGGGCAGTGCTTCGTGGTGCGGGGCGCGGGGGTGGTACGGCAAGAGGACAGCAGAGAGACAAACTACGTCCCAGAAAACTCCCCAGGAGGTTTACATTTACATCGGTTCTGCACATGTAATAGGTATCTCAGTGTTAGTTCTTTTAGGACTTCAACAGAAAAAATTGTTTATCTTTCTAGGAAAAGTTGATCCATGGCAGTGCTTTAAAAAGGAACCTTTGCAGTTAATTTTTTCCTCTTTTTAATGGTTAATGATAAATGTATTTTTTTTAGTTTCAATTTAGAAATTTTAAATCATTTTCCTTAGTAACTAGAACAGTGACTCAACTTTTTGAAGAGCACAGGTGACGGGACCTATCGGCATTTAAATTGATTATAATAAAATAAATGAAGAGTTTAGCTTCTTAGCCACATTAGTCACTTTCGAGTGCTCAGTAGACACATGTGGCTGTCGCATTGGACAGTGCAGGTAGAGACAGAAAGTCCTGCTGGACGGTGTGCTTGGACCACCTGGCACAGTGCTCTGCAGACAGGCGGGACCTGCTAAACACTGAAATGAGAGGTTGGACAGACAGACGGATAAACAAGCCTCTGTGGAGGGGCTCAGGCCTGGGTGGGTTTTCAGCCTCCAGGTTTATGCTCCTGGAGTAACCTTGACCACAGCACTTGGAGTTCATCTTGAGTTGAAGGTTAGAATCATAATTTGGACAACTGATTGTTACAGCTCACTCTGGTACATAGAGTCATGCGATTTCAGGGTTGGCGGGACGTTAAAGGTTCTTTTTTTATTGGTTGGGTTCTTCTACCTAATTTCAAATAGGGGGTTGTCCAGCTGCTGTTTGCATCCCTTTAGTTATGGGCTTTGCCTCTGATGGTGACTGAAGTCCATCTGAAACATGTCCCCAGATTACTACACTTTACAGGTACTCTCTCGAGTCTGTTAAGAACAGTCGAGGACAAATACTTGTCTGTCCTTCAAATATTGGAAATGTTTTTCATCTTCTCAGTGAGTCTTTTCTCCCTCAAGCTGTTCATAGTGAGTTCCTTTAATAATAGTTTCATAAGACTTGTTTTTCCAGTTTGGGGCTTATATAAAACACTTGGCTTTGAAACTGGTTGATGGCACCCTCTGTAAAGCACCTTGTCCTGTTCGGCTTTTGTTGTTGTTTAAAATTGATTTGGGAGATGTTTGAGGATGGCACAAGCTTAAAGGTGAGCAGACCTACTAGGTGACAGTGGTGGTATTCTGCAGAGCATCTCACAGCTCCAGAGGACACACTAAGCTAGTAGGAGGCATTTGCATAGGAGCCTTTCATTCCATAAATGTTGACTGAGGACACACTGTGTGTCAGCTGCTTCACTGGGCACTGTGGATGTGGCAGGGCCCAAGACAGACAGTGTTTCTGTCCTCAGGGTGTTTACAGTCTAATGGGGGGAAAACAAGTAAATAAAGCAAGTGGAGGACCAGGGTAAGAAGGAACGCAACATGGCTGAGAAACGGAGATGAGGCCAGTGTGACTGGAGCACGGAGTGGAGGGGAGCGTTAGAGACCGTCCTGGGCATTGGATAATCCTGGCACCTACAGCGGAGCCTGGCACAGAGGGAGCATTCAGCAAGTGTATACTGAAGTGAATGAATGAGTGAACGCACAAATGAATGGATGAAAGAATGAATGAGTGAATGGGTGTTCCTGGAGAAGCTCACTCATGGGCCCACAGATAACAGGACAGATACAGGAGAAGAGAAGGTGAGACGGAGCAGGGGGCCTTGTGACGATTACTTGGGGTTTAGTTTTTCCACAAGCCCAGTATTGAGCAGCAGCGTCACGTGGGCGCCAGCCCTGGCTGCTGCCTTAGGATGTTTTAGAAGTGATGGTGGTGGCGCCACTCTTTTCATTACCTTGAATGTTCGCTGTTAAGAGGCTGACAAACCGGGACACAACCAGAGAAGGTGGATCAGGCCTGATGTCGCTGGAAGCCATGACATGTCTGAACAGTGTGTGCTAAGGGAGGCCTGAGGACTCAGGCATCAGGGCCATCCTGTGGAGGAGGTCTCGGAGATCACTTTATCTGAAAAGCAGAACTCAAGGATTGGAAATTACAGGGAGGAGGTTTTGCCTTAAAATGAGGAAGAGCTTTAGAATGGACTGATGGTGGGCCAGCTGCCTGCTGAGAGAGCCCCCCTTTCACCAGGTCCGCGGTGCTCAGTGTGGTCTGCAGGCCTGGGAGCTCCTGGGAGCAGTTCCGATGAGATGAGTGCAGGAATCAGAGAAGTGTCTAGAAACCGTCATAGCTGTTAGACGTTGTCGGCACATTCTTATATCTTACAAAAGTGCCCGTTTGTAATGCTTTGGAAATTAACAACAGGCAGGCCGCTCCTTTACCACCAACACTGGGCAGGGTGGCCAAAGATGCAGACTAGTGACATGTCCCCCAGAGTGGATTGACCAGATGGCAGCTTAGGTCCCTTCCAGCCTAACTCTCTGATTCACTTTCTCCCCCAAACTTCCACCCTGCCCCATCTTTCCTGCAAACATGATTGGGCCTCCCTGTTGTGACAGAAATCCCCTCAGCTCTGCTTCCTTTTCAGGCTGCCTTAGTCACCATCAGCAGCTCCCTCCCTCCCAAACCTCTGTCGACTGTGTGACTGGCCTTCTGACACTGCTCTTCGAAGTCCCCTGGCCTGTGCTCAGCCCGCATCTGACCTGCCCCAGCATAGGTACCGGTAACCCCTGTTCTCAGCACCCTTTGGGATGCATATAGGGGACCTCTTCGGATTGGGCTGGTTTTCTGACTCAGGCTCGTGGTTTCTCAGCTTTTGTGTTTCTCTTAAAAGTAGGCGTTCCCCATGATTCTGTACTTGGCTTGTCTCTCTTCCGTCTCCGTGGGCGCCACCTTCCAATCCCATGCCCTCCCTTGGCCCCAGTGTCAATGGTCCCAGTTCTGATGCAGCTTCTGAACCGCAGAGCAGGCCTTGAAATCTCTCAGCAGATATGCCCGCCGCATTGGCACCCCTAACTTAATACGTCCCCAGCCTGCAACCCTCTGCAGAGATGACATAGGTGGAGCTGAGGCCCCAGGTTGGCGTTTGGACCAGTCCTGTAGACAGTAGGAGGGGTGTTTGCAGCAACCCCATGCTTGGGGAAGAGAGAACAGTTAGCAGGTTCAAGTCCAGGGACGAGAACGACTGAGGACTTAGAATTCAGATGAGGACTTAGTGGGATGCAGAGGAAGAGATGGGTGAGAAATGGCAACGGGGCGGAGGGAGGGGCTCCAGGGTTGGGAGTAACCCCTGTGGTCTCCCCTTGGTGCATGGCGGCAGTGTTTGCTGACACAGGACATGCAGGAGGAGGAGAAAGGAAGCCACGCTGATGTCATTTACTATCCTCTACGGTATTTACCTGGTTCCTTTTTGAGAGAGAATCTGTTCAGCAAACGTTTGGGTGCTGACTTTTGATGGTAGTTTTCTGTTGACACCATCACATGTGGTTTCCAGAGAGATTCTGAGTTGTGCCGGCCTGGCCACAGTGAGGGCCCTGGTGGCCTGCAGGGCAGCCTCGCCTCTCGTGGCTCACTCATGGCTCCGGTTCCTTTTGCAGCTCGCCCCCGATGACGCCTGGCGCTGCCCACACTGCAAGCAGCTACAGCAGGGGAGCATCACGCTGAGCCTGTGGACGCTGCCCGACGTGCTCATCATCCACCTGAAGCGCTTCCGGCAGGTGAGGAAGTCCCATCCCGTGTCCCTGGGTCCTCAGTGTCCCTATGTTCCCGAGCAGACAGCGGCTGCCCTGTGCTTGCGGTCACGCGGTGCTGTTTCCCAAAGCAGAGTATGAGCATTCTGTGACCCTCTGAATCCTGAACATTTAGTTCATACTGCAGATATCTTGCTTTGTTCTTGGGGATTTGCTTTAGGTTTGTAAATGTTATGCTTAAATTTTGGTGAGTGTGCTTTGGGATTAAAAAAAACAGAGCCCCGTTCTGGGGGCAGGTAGAATTGTATTTCTACCTAAAATAATTACAGGTGTCGTCCTGCTCCCAAGTAGTGGTTGTACAGTGGGGAGATGAGTCAGAAACATCCAGAAAAAATCTGCTTTGGGTCACATTGCTCTGAGCCAGCTGTTCCAAACGGCTGCCTGTTCTCTGCAGCTGGGATGGTCCTGAAAAGCCCCATGTGGAAGGAGTCAGTGGAGGGTAAATGGCAGAGGAGGCCCTGACGCCTGGCTGTAGGGAGGGCTGTGTCTGAGACCCGGGCCGGCACTTGGTGGGAGAAGAGGCAACAGTGTCTGCAAGCCCTGTGGCCTGAGGGGTACCCGTGTGCACGAGACTGCCACCTGCCAGTTTGGCTGGAGCTTGGAGGGTGGAGGAAAGGTCTGAGCTGCAGTGGGCGAGGGTCCAGGGAGGGGCCGTCCCCGCAGATCCCTGCAGTCAGTGGGAGGCTGACAGGATGGCTTGAAGCTGGGAAGCGGCGCCACTGTCCTGTGTGTGAAGAGACCGTTGTATTCTGGCTGCCGCGTGGGGAACCAGGCTGTCAGGATGAGGCCGGAGACGGGAAGGAGGCCCCACAGTCATCGGGGGAGGATGCTCGTGGCCTGGGACAGGTGTGGCGGAGGACAGGGAGAGACCCGAAAAGACAGCAGGGATGTTAGGGCTTGCTGGTGAAGTGGAGGTGTCGGGGGTGACACACACTTGGTCCCCGGGCTGGGCTTTCACACTGAGGTTTGGGTCCAGCTCCTAAAGTGGAAAAGTGGGCATTTGCCTGCGTGTCTCAGCTTACCCTCCTTGGGATCTGCCGGTTGAGGGTTGGGCCCCCCACCTTCTCGGTCCCCTTCCACACACACATTTTCCTTTGCTGTCTGTTTCTTTGGAAGGCATATCAGCACCCTGGACTCAAAACTGCAGTATCACCTTTGCCTCCTCTCTCTTGTCGCTCTCGTCTAGGCAGTTACCTGTGCAGTTTGGTTGTGCGTCTTCATTGCCTCCTGTAGGTCCCCTTGTCCCGACTTCTGACACTTTCCGGCTGGTTGCAGTGGCAGTGCCTTCACTGATTTCTTAATCCGCACGACACTCTGTACCGTGTCTCATGCGCTTCCACAGTCCTTCCCCACAGCTCTGAGACCGGCGCCTCCTCGGAGCCCCAGTGCTTGGCCCGGACTAGGAACAAAGCCCGCACTCTTCAGCCTGACCTTCCTGACCTTCCAGGTCCCGTCCTACCTTTTCTCATGAAAACCTGCTTCCCTTAGATCTGTGGCTCCGGGGCTGGCTGTGTCCGTTACCCATCAGTGTTTGGAAGCTCCCATAGACCCAGGAAACATCCCGTGTGTGGTTGGATTTCACAGGATTTCCCTGTGGGCTTAACGGAAAATACCGAT